ATACTATAAAATCACAGTTAAAAGACCTGCATCTGATGATCGCAGTATTCTGGCGGGTGTGTAGTTTATTGAGTCAGCAATGTAGTAATGTATGTAATGTCATAATGGCCACTTCTTGCTAAATTTACATTTCCATGTGATGCTTTTATCCGAGGCGACTCACAATAGGTAAATGAACAGCAGTAGACAGTATCTCATGTACTTAGACACTGTACTTAAATCAGAGTGGTTTCTTGGCCCGATAGCTTGTGTCTGACACACGGCCGATTCAACATGTTGAGTCGGCCGTGTGTCGACCGTGAAAGGCCAAATAAGGCGTGTCACGGCCGAGGGTTTGGGACACACCAAATTGACTTTGGGCGACAGGGCACGCTTCGTCGTCAGACAACCGAAGACGGCCGATTTCGGCCTGGTGTGTCAGGGCCTTTACCCTCATAACCATGGGGGGGAAAAAACGCTGTTGAAATGTAGCTGGCAGTGTTGTGCGACGTCCATGTTAATATCCATGTGCTACATTCCAGCCGTTCTCTCGAAGATATATGTCTTCTTCCTATCTGTGCCGCCAAGTGCAATGCTGCAGAATTAGGGACTCAAATAAAGAAGGTCAATCCATTCATACTTAATTAAGGAGGGCGATGTACCAGGAATAGTCAATCTATTTAACATGAAAACTATTATACATGAATGTATACAGTTTAATGCTGAAATGTCTTAGTAAAGGAATGAAAATGGCCATATGAGAGGATTCGTTACGGCCCGTCCACACAACAGCGTTAAAAAAATCTTCCAACGCTTCTGCCCATTCACTTTGAATGGGGTGACGTCACTTTGCCTCACTTTTCGCCGAACTGCATTGTGGGAAGCAGAGCGGAGATTTTCAGGATTCAAAAGTTGAGCAATGTTCAACTTTTGAAGCTTAGGTGGAAGCGTCAGTCAATCAAATCCCGTTTATGCAAATCTGACAGTTCAAGCGCTAGCCAATCAAACCGCGTGTATGCTGGGAGAGACATACCGAGGTCATTTCCTCATATTCCAAAAAATGGAGGAGAAATTAATTATAGCGGTAGGGAATCACCCGGTGCTTTATGACCAGTCCCTATTTACCTACCGGGATACAAACCGGAGGAGCCAGGCATGGAGGGAGGTGGCAGAGACAGTGGTAGGTTTACGCCTGTTTGGGGAGTTTATATCCAGTTTACTTCGGGCTTTTTTGCTTCGTATGTCGGGGCCGGGAGATTCATGTGATTGGTTGTTGGTCGCGTTGCTTGCAAAAAATCCCCAAGCTTCAGATATGCCCACCTCCAAGATTTTTTTAACGCTGCTGTGTGGCATGGATGTATAATAAGAACTGGATACAGCGTGGGAGGCGGGGCCTCATTCATTCCTATGAGAGTTGCTCATTGGCGCATGATGATAAAATGGCCCAACTTTTGAGAGAGCGAAACGTTACAGATTACCCGTCATGCCTGAGAAGTACCCGTATGTGCGCTCATAGCGCATGCGCAACTTTAACCACGCTCCCCAAAATGCTCGTTCACATCAAGCACGTCAATTTCAAGAGAAGAAGAAGAAGAAGCACGTAACAGTCACGTTCATGACAGCATGGTAATGGCTTGTTATTATGATGGATTTGATATTAACGAGGCGGCAGTTAGCAGCTAGCGGCTAGCTAGTAATTATGCTAATTTACACATCAGTCGTTATGTAGGCTACTTTTATATTACGCTGATGTAACCGATCTAGTGATATCCAAGCAACAGAGCTTAATTTAGCATGATACTTGTGTGGGTTGTAGCCTACATGAAACCACTTGGTAATATATACAAATATATGTATTTGGAGTTATGATCAATTGTGATTTAAATCTTTATCTAAAAAGTAAAGCTGATGATGGTGGAGTTAAAATAACAATAGCCTATTTCTCTTTGAAATGTGATGGAGTAAAAGGATAGTAACCATGATTATTCATGTTAAGTACCCAACAAGTAACTAAAACGTATAATACTTGAAGGAAAGGTGGAAAATGTTTCCATAAATGCCAATATCACACACTACAACACAGACTATAACACCCCTTGTTGTTAAATACCAACCATGTGTGTATATATATATATATATATATATTTATATATATATACATATATGCCGCTAAAACTGTGTAATATACCAGGCTGCTAAATCCTCCAAACTGTTACAGGATGTGTATTTTGTAAAATGTGTAACTTTTTTTATTATAATTTCTGGTTTTTAATCTTTAATACTTTTTTTATGCATACTTTAAGTAACATTAGGCTGTCTTTGGCTCTTTTCTGCTGTAACAATGTAAATGTATTCTGATTCTGATCTAATTGATATGTTTTTGTCACAGTTTGTTTCCCTATATTGCGGCACTTGTTTTGTTTAAGATTATCCCTGTTAGACATCCCCAACCATAGTGGAATGCTGTTGTAAAGGATTGCATTGATCCGTGCATCAATACCTTCAGCCAGCTTTGAGGCCTCCAATGAATGAAATCATCTTGTGGCTGGGAAAAATGTGAAAAAATAAATCTCACAAAGAGTGACTTTCTGGTGTAATCATTATAATATCAAAGACAAGCACTTTTAGTAACAATATATAAAATCATTCAGCAGCAGAGGTTGGGGTGAAAACAGCATTTCTCATCACATCTCCTCTTCATCCCATCTCCTTTCATCATATCCAGTGCCAGAAGAGCTAATCCAAAGACCTCATCACACCTCCTCTTCATCCCATCTCCTCATCAAATCCAGATCTTCAGCATCATCACCAATGTCTAGACCCCGGGGGGTTCCCTATATGCTCACGGCTGCATTTCCCCCTTTAGATATACGATTTCAGGATCGGGGTCTAATCGCCAAAGACTTAACATTTATCATATGGCATGTGTCAATAACTGTTCTTTAAACAAAATGAAGTCTCTCCTGATTTAACTGTCTGGACCCCATCCTCAACTTTTTTTCAAACCATAACATGCCTTCTAGCACCTCTTCAAAGACACATTTGATTTGATTTATTTAGAACGTGTAATACAATAAAAAAATATTTATTTATAAATATATAATATAAACATTATTTATAATGTCTTTAAAGGCCGTTATCTCTATTTAAAAAATGTTTTTAGACTGAGCCATAAATCTCCACTTCAATAACACTAACATATACCAGACTAGTTTATTTTTGATGTTTTCTCTATGGAGGGGTTAGTTCATATGTCATTCCGGGCCTGATCATTCTTACTGGGCCAGTGAGATTAAACGTATTCCCTCTGTTAAAAAAAACATTTTGCTCTAAAATCGCAACAAATAAAACAAGAATCTTGAAAGTGGCTTTATCCAATGTTTACTTTTCTGATAGTGTTTATGCAAACAAGCACATATTTAATAGGAAAATGCCTCATTTGCATATTTAAACATAACTTTTTAGAAAACTTGTAATATAAAAAGAACATTCATAGTGAATGAAATCATGTTTGGAAGTTCCATGGTGAACCCGATGTTTAAAATGTCACCCTATTCTCCCTAACATTACCTTGAGGTCCCACCATGAGTAATTCTCACTGTGGTAAACTGCAACAGTGTCTCCCCTCGGTGCAGAGAGTGAATGCAGATGGGAAAGCGGGCCATCAGCAGGATCTCTATTGGCGCAGTTCCACTGCAGCGCGGAGCTCGCTTTAAGCGTGCCGTGTCGTGCCGTCCCCTTTTTTGGTTGTGCTTCCACTAGGCCAATTACCGGCGCGGCACGGCGCGGGGCCACTTTTTCACCTCTTTTCTGGCCCTAGAAAATGGTGGTTCTATCGGGGCCAACAAACAGGGCTGAGTCGGGCTGAGTATGCTAAACTAGAGAGAGGAGCGCTGGCAAGAGGGCTAGAACTACAACAAGATGGACATATTTGACCGTGATTTAATTGTAATACACGTTTCAAAATGATGCCGAAGTAACAACATACTGATACCGGTTAGTAAAAACCATGAATTAATGCTTTGTCAAGTCTGCAGACAGACGGCAGGCGAAAAACCTTTTAAAATTCGTGTTTTTCTAAATGGAGATTGGCTAAGCTAACGCAGTATATGCCCCGACCGTCCACACTCACAACAACGGCCTATACAGACATAAATAAAGCAGCGACTGTATTCACCATGACACAGGCAGTCTGTGGTGTGTACTTGTTTAACTTTTGTCGAGTTTCTGAACATATATAAGGAGCTGTGAGCTCTGAGTGCTAACAGCTAACGGCTGTGTTGTGTTTCTGGATTTCTCATTGAAGATGACGTCACGGCTCCGCCTACACTGCGTTACTATAGTAACTACCCCAGTTCCTAAACTGTAATGGAAGCGCAGCATGAAGTGAGTCGGCCCTGTTAAGGCCCAACGCGGCCAAGCCGTACCGAGCCGTACCGAGTGTGGCCGAGGCCGACCGTGTAGTGGAAATGCGCCATATTACAAATATCTCTGTCACTGGGACGGCCTAAGAATAGGCCTAATGGCCTCATTCTCATTTGAAAAGAAAACGTCTGAGAACCAAGCAAACCTAAGTGTCAAAATTCATTGTGCATTCATGCATTTTACACCAATAATACTGGCTATCAAAAGTTCTATTTCAAGAAAATTGTACAACTATTACATTGATCAAATCATACAGAGATAATGTGATATTTGATGATAACTTTTGAATGAAACTCCCTACCAGTCCATGCATTTTTAATTGTGGATTATTCTTTCTTATTGCCTTTTGAGTCTATTCCAAGCATGTACTGGTCACAAACTTTTTTTGAATCAATACAATAAGGTAACTGCTAAAGATCAACTGAGTCAAGATAGCTTGACCAATATTTCTTACTTTTAGTTATATAAACCCTCCTAAATGCAATACAATACCTAGCACCTTTGACCAATCAGCACTTTGTTGGGCCACTCCTCTTGTGTGATTGCTCACCTGTGACTTCCTGCCAATTTCCCCAAAACCAGCATATATGGAGTGCTGTGTGAGACACTGGAGATCAAACATGAGTGAGTGTCGTGGCAGCAAGAGCTGCACTCAATGTTGCGTGAAGGACTTCAGTTGCTTAACTGTCTGCCAAATTTAAGGTGAGTCTTCCATCTTTTTGTTCCCATTAGTTTTTGTCATGTTTAGTCTTTAATGCTGATTTATGCAACAAATTAATTCTGAGCTTTAAAGGTCTTTTTTAAAAGTCCATAACCATTGAGTGTTAAATGGTGCTTTTAAAACTGATGTTGCCATTTGTATCCATTAGTGACAGTAATTTGCGGCCCTTGCTTGTGCTGAAGTGGTCTCCTGCAGTGATGTGTATGTGTGTTGTGTGCAGGGAGGAGCAGGATGAAGCTTTTGAAAAGGCAATGGATGGAGATGTGGAGGAGCTGCTGCGGGTCTATGGGGGTTTGAGTGATCACCTGGAAGTGTTCGCTACTCTCGTTAACAAGGTAAGAGCAGACTGTCTCTCTGCTACTTGTTATAGTTGTTGCAAAAAGGATCTAATGTCTGAATAAACGGTTTCATCAGGTCTTTGTGACGCTGGCACACATTGTTAGACTTAAATGTGTAAACGGGACATGCTGTCTTAATTTGTTTGTATGCATGTGCTGATGTGTGCAGGTTACCAGCACCCCAGCCTCCATGCAGCTGCTGTCCAAGCTGAAGGAGTTGGTGTCCAAGCTGAAGGAGCTGCTGTTGCTCGGGCCGTACCACTCTGACAGGCAGGCTCTGGAGTCCGTCACTAACCAAGCCATACGGCTGGCCCAGGACTGTGAGCCAGCACTAAAGCAGCAATACATTCACTTTCATAAGCCCCCACCACCTCCGCCTTTGCCTGGAATTCCACCTCCATTACCTGGTATGGGTGGCGGCTCACCACCACCACCTCCATTACCTGGCATGCCAGCTCCTCCACCTCCCCCCGGCATGATAGTGGCTCAGGGTAGTCAGTCCCTGGGGTCCGCTGCCCCCACCAAGGCACACCGATGCCGCACCCTGAGGATGTAGGGTTTTTTGTAAAAATGTAAATGTGATATACTAATCGTCTCTCATTATGCTTTCTAAATTCTGTTTTTAATGGATACAAAATAAACTACAGCACAATGTATGTGAAACCAAACATGTTGTCGATCATGATCATTTATACGTTTATAAGTGCCAATACTCAACACTGACTTTAAGTACACATCTTGTTGAAAATGTAGGGACATGATTGATAAAATGATTTTAATTAACCCCAATGCTAACAGAATCAGAAGTGCTGGAAGTCATATTTGTCAACTACTGTGCGGCTCTTTAAATTTCCAGCAGTTGCAAACCCTGCGGGCAAAGGCCTCTGGTCTTATACCATTGCCAAGGGGGAGGGTTGTCTCCCCCCTTTTTGTGGCTTTGGGTTTTGGAAAATGGCAGACCCACTGGAATTTCAAAGCAGTCACATGAAAGCTGAAGATGATTTAGGGATGACTGGAAATAAAAAGGACAAGGAGGAAGAAGCATAATGATGTGAATTTGGAAATAATCATTTCATGATCTCACTAACTACATTTTCTGGTGAGCCACGTGAAATGAGACCGCAAATGAGGAAAGAAACTGGAAATAATCTGAAAACAACAAAAACAACCAAATAGCAAGTGCGATTTCAAAGTTTGGTGCAGACAGAATATTGCTAGCACTCATAAAGTAAATACTTAGATGTGAAGTAAAGAAATGTGTTTTTCAAGGTTTTACGTCCACAAAAGAAAGAGCCAGTCACTGCTGCAAAGCTTTAGGGAGGTTATGTCATAACATTTACTGGGAGATAAATCTTAGAAAATGTTAGTGTCAGGAGTTTGGACTTTCTTAGCAGTGTGGAGTGAGTATCTGATGGAAGCTGTGTACAACAAGCAAGATACGGTTAATGGTAAATAGAGATAAATAAGCGATGTCCGTTTCAGGTGCTGGGTCCTCCAAAGTCTGCATTTCTAGACTAAATGTGTCATGTCTGTCTCACAAAGAATCTTCTTAATGTAACAAATAAATACTGTGCAGCCCAGTGTGGAGCGAGCAACCTGCACATGGTTCACTCTGCAGCCTATAATAATACATAATACTGCATTGTTTAATAGTGTTTGTTACGGCCGCCGCCTCCCCGGTCCTAACTCTGCTTTGACTGTGTTCTATGTAAATGAGCTGTGTGGTTCATCAACTTGCAGAGACCATTATCACATTCACCAGTTGTTAAATAGTGGAGGCAAGAAAATCAGTATTGCTGATAGCCTGTTCTAGTTCTTAGTCAGGGTCGTCACGGAAAAATATATGGGTATTTATAATTCATTAAAATAATTTGACCTCAAAATCATATTGATCTGTGATGATGAAAAATGTGGCAATTTTTCATCATCACAGATCAATATGACTTTGAGGTCAAATTCTTTATTACAATCTTAAAAGGACCTGATTTTAGGAGTTTATGTGGAACACCTGAACACTCAGTTTTCATCTCTGTGAGGATCACTTCATTTTGGCAGGAGGACAAGGAAAATATTATTTGAAATTGGAAAGGACAACTGCATGTGAGGCATTGTGATTCAGGTGCGCATGTTATAGCATGAGGTCTGGCGTGAAGTTTCTGCTGTCGGATTAAAAGGATAGAAAGCTGTGAAGCTTTGTAGATCTGAATGCTAAAATAGAGAGGCGGGGTAGTGGAGAGATTCTTCTTGCCATAAAAAGAACAAATTAAGATGAGAAGGCTGAGAGAAGTCCAGGATCCATGTGGCGAGCGAAAACTGTGAGGGAAATAAGAGAAAGAATAAGGATGGAAAAAATAATGCTCTGGGATTTTTCTGATATTGATGACATCGCCAGGTGAAATCTTCAAAAAATATTTAAAGTGATTTATTTAATGTCCGGCCCAGTAAGGAGCGTTGAAGGCGAAGGTTGTAAATTAAGTCAACAGACATGTAATTTGGTTACACAGAATGACTCCAGTAAACGTCATGCATAGCCTTGGGTTGTTAGGGGATACCATGTAAACACAACTCTATTTTATTTTACATTGTATAATATTACTTGCATCACTCTAACAAAACTATTTTGCTATGATGATCCTTTTATATTTTATATAGTAATGCATTTTCCCTGTACTAAATAAAGATACTAAACACATGTACTGAATAACATTACAATACTATAATATTGTGTACATTGTATTTATTATTCAAACCTATAACTAAAACTAAATAAAGAGTTCGCAAATCATGGAAGCTGGAGTTGCACTAATTAACATATTTTAAACAAACATTAGTATAATTCACTATAGGCATGGTCATTGCATGGCTTTTTTTACCTACCTCACTAATTATTTATTTTTCAATTTTTATTTCATATAAATATTTCTTTATGCGTTTTCTAAATCTCAGTCTGTCTCTGCTGTAAAAACGTGTGGCACTTGAGACTTAAAAATATCTGTTTTTTTGTATCTTAAATTACAAAAGACACATTAAAGGAATTTCTCTTCCCACTAATATCTACATGGATTTCAGGTCAAAATGTTTTTGTATAAAACAATTATTTTCTAGAGAAATATGGTAATATAATAAGGTGCTGAGAAAGCTGCTTTAAGGGCTGATAATAACAACAGATGGCTGTGGTCATTGGGTGCACAGTAAACATTGGAGAAACACTTATTTTAACACTGACAACTTTAGGGATTATTATACCCAGTATTTAAAGCTCCCATGTCATGCTTTTCCGGTTATTACCCGTCCCCTTGTGTGTTATGAAGGTTTTTATGCATGTAAACGGTGTGCAGAGTCAAAACCCTCAAAGTACACCCTGTAGCGAGTAAAACTCTAACACAGAAAATACCTCCCCAAAACGCCTCGTTGGAGATACGTCACTGCCCATTTGATTCTTCCGGGTACCGCCTGATGTCATGCGGTACCCGGAACGAAATGGACCAATCCCGAAGAGCTATGGCCACACCAGCAGCGGCGTGTTCCTCCTCCAGAGGTTCGATGAACCGGCATTTCACAGACGAAAGCTTCCAAAAACATTGCCCAGTTTGAGGCCGGATATGCACAGCTTGTTTGGACCGTTTGGAGCAGGGGAAGATCTGGGTATACAACCTGTAAGTTTGCATTGTTATTTGTGTATTTATCAAACAAGACTGTTTAAATGTGTAAACTGTGTTGGACTGCTAAGCCATTGACACAGTGCTAACTGTGCTAACTAAGTTGCTAGAGTTTCCATATATCAACTCTAATATCAGCAGATGGCCTTGCATACATGTATCTCATAGCAGGAGAATGTCTGCATTCACACACAAAATACCTATTGACAGTATACTGCGGGTGATTTGCCGGTCAGTCGCGAAACGTAATTACATTATAGCTGGCGTAGCGATCTAACACACGGAGCTTGAGCTAGTTTTGGTCAGAAAAACATTTTTGTGATGCTACGTTGCTAGCGTTTAAATATATCAACTACAATGTCAGCAGATGGCCTTACATGTTTGTCATGGCAGGAGAATGTCTGCAGTCACACACACGGAATACTCATACAGTATACTCCGGTTTACCGTACATTGTGACCGTACATATACTGCATGTAGCTAACGAGGCTAGCTGTATGCTAGCGCAAAACAATGTATTCATGCAAGTTACATTGTATGGTAGCAGAATACCCGTATACGATTGCAATTATAAACACGTTATTGCTAGCCTAATATGAACCACTAGCTTTTGTTCATAGTAGTTTTATTACACTGCATTATAGTTGCCTTTCCTCCAAGCTAACGTTCATATCGTGTTAGCTACCAAGGTAAACAAAGCTAGGTTAGCATATTAGCAGGCAAGCTGTTCATTACACAACTACTACTAACGAATCTAAAACAACTAAGTTTCTCTAATATTTTGTGATTTGCATTTGATTTCGTCCAGCCAGATCCTGGCGGACAATCCATGACGGGGAAGGGATTCTACTACTACTGAGGCGTCGTGCTAAAAGGCACCGCACCGCACCGGCTGTGCGCAGGCAAGAGGAGGAGGAATGGATGATATACCGTGTATATATGTATATTTATGTTCATTTTGTACATTTCTAAAAATAAAGTTTAATGGAAATACTTAGTAGGCCTATCCTTTCTTCCCTGAATTCATATATAGCAAACCATGATTTGATTTCTCATCAAACAGTAGTAGTTTATAACGGGTAAAAATAACTTACTCTTTGTTATGAGCGGCTCGTAGGCCACAACGGAAAGACAAGGAGACATACACGAGTTTACAAAACCACGGCACATTTATTGTGGTAAATGCAAAGATAGGTGGTTGAGAGGATCGCAGAGTTAGTCTTCCTGCAGCCGCTTTGGAGAGAGACTGGGGCCGTAGTGTCCGGAGGTGTCCGTGATCGTGCTGATTAGCTTCTTCAGCTCCACCCCATCGTAAGACAAAGGCCCTGGGGCCGTCACACTCTTCTATAACAACAGTTAAAAATATATATGTATATAAAATATACCGCTGTACCGACGCCATGATAAGACTGATGTTACGCTGAGAGCAGCCGGGAAAAGCACTGACATGGGCGCAGCCTCTCTGGTGGTTGACTAATCAGAACGAGTGGCCGAGCTGACCAATCGGAGCACACTAGGCTCACAGGGAGGGGGGGGGCAAGAGCTCCAACGAGTCGTTTAGTGGAGAAAGTGAATACTGCTGAATACACATGCTTGACAGAGATGCTGTATGCGAAACCAATGTGAGTTTGGAAAATTGCACAGTATAAATCTATTTTAGTATACCTCAACAATGTAATTATGATCAGTGGAAATGGCCATGACATGGGCCCTTTAAGTTATTAATTTATATTTTTCCTTTTTTTCTTAAGCCACATAAACCTGTGCAATATATCTATCCCACCATTTACCGGCTGATTCCAGCTGCTCAGCAGTTTTTTCCGTGCCATTCCCACACATATTGGGCTTTGAGTTGACAGATCCAATTAGAGACAAGGTTCAGGTCCAAGCCCCTGATGAAGAAAGATACAAAGGTTTGGCACGCTAATACTCTGGGCTCCTGCTGCTTATGTAATCACTCAATACACCAAGTTCACAGCCTAGCATTTTCCCCCAGTTGATCTTGTGTC